ATTATGGTTTTAACAGTTTTTAGAATCCTTGTTTAACCTTAAAAAGATGATAGAATGAGCTGGAGATAAATGTATCAGCAAGGCAGTGGTTTATTGTAAACCACTGTAATTCACACAGGTTTGACTATATTATTATCAAATAACCCATACAATTACATAAAGAGTGAACTACTAAACAATTCAAGAAATGTAATAAAAAATGTTAAAACATGAGTAATGTAACTTTGTGTGTATTTTTAGTACTTTGTGTTTTTAGTATTTAAAAAGATGTCAGGAATGGAAACTAACGCCAATGAGCCGCAAAAGCTATTAATTACTGCCATCCTCCTCCACACCAGCCATAGCAGACATTAACTTGAGTATGTGATCCCACTGTCTCCACAGCCTCTGTACTAGATCATATGTTTACAGCGTGTCTGATTGGCTGCACCATCTGCCTCAGGCTTGCTTGCATGCTCCCTCTTTGTTCTTTGGAAACCCTCTTTGACATTGGGCGGCAGAACCTTTAAAAGGTCTTCCTCAACTAAAAGCCTATTCACTGTAAGGCTGTGGCATTTTATGAGCTCTGCTGAGAATCTACGCTGCTAGCTCCCTTTGGGAATGAGTTAGAACACTTAGATCTGTTGTGAAACTATGAAATAATCAATATAAAGCACAGAGTTCTAAATAGAAAAATATACAATACATGACTAAAATTTGTTTTTAAAGGTGTATGATAAAATTGTCATTGTTTTGTTGATTAGCTGCACTCTTGTAAATGCACAGACCAGACAACATTTCACAGAAGAGTGTCATGACAAGGACAGAATTCACGACCCACTAAATAGTTGTTTCAAAGTGATTTATTTCTTGCATGTGGGAATGTCCTATAGCCAAGAATTGTTGTGTTGTTCTACTCTTAAAAACTCCAGGACATTGCAGTGATGGGTTTTCTTTAATAAAGTTTTGCAACACACATGGTCAAGTATATAGAGAAAAAATACATTAATTATATATTTTTTATTTTCATGGGGTGATGGGGACCAGAGTTTTGAGTTCTGAGACAAGATATTTTGAGAAATGTCTCAGTCTTTTTATTTATCCATACAATGGAAAGTCAATGGTTCCAAAAATGTTATAAATATTCTTCAAAATATCTTTCCAAAAACACAAGCAAGTCATACAGGTTTGGAACAATATGAGGGTGAGAAAATGGTGAAAGAATTGAGTGAACAATCCCTACACTACAACTTTCAGTACATTCAACGTACACATTTGATTAGTGTATGTGTTTTTCCTTGTTAATATGATTATGGCATTATTACATACCAGGCTGGCCCTTTCTGTCATTTCTAAGTCCCGCTATCATGTCACTGTTTAATGACTCCTAAAACTGGCCTTATTGATTAATACTAAACACTGAAAATGTGAGAGTGCCTTATAATGTTTACTACTGTAGCTCAGACATCAAAGCCTAATGCAAAAGATTAGCAAAAGTTCTGTTCATGTTTTCTATTCAAAAATTGTGTGAACAGGGATGTATTTGGTGGAGTTGCCACTGATAAGATGTTTCCATAAATGTAGAGGTCTCAAAGGTTCTGCAGACTAAGGATTCATTTTAGGATCTTGTCCAATTCTGTAAAAAAAAAAAAAAAAAAA